GCTTTTCAGGGGCAGGCCCCTCTTCCGGCGCCCGTCCCACCCCCGCCAGCAAGTGAGCCAGGTACAGCCTTCGCAGGTCCTTGTCCTGCTGGCGTTGGGTCTGCTGCCACTCTTCCCTCCACTCCTCGGCCAGGCGCTGCAGCTGCTGGCTCTGCTCCAGCTGGCCGTCGGGGCAGCCCTGGAGGGCAACGTCACTGCCCGGGAGGGCGAGGTCACTGCCCGGGAGGGCGAGGTCACTGTCCCGGAGGGCGAGGTCACTGCCCCGGAGGGCGAGGTCACTGCCCCGGAGGACGCCGTTGCCTTTGTCTCTGACTTGGAGTTTCTGCCTCAGAGGCGAGGCTTCGTCATGGGGGTGGGGACCTGGGCAGGCGGCTTTCTCCATGCTCCGTCTCATCTCCGAGAGCTCTGCGGGCACAGCTTCTGTGGGGAGGTGGTTGGAGCCCAGAGTGGAGGCTTCGAGGGGCTCCAGGGCTCCGGGAGCCACAGAAGCCATGATGGGCCCACAGCAAACCTAGAAGGGGGAAGGACACGTGCCGTGTTCCAGAGTGTCCCGAGGAGAGCAGCGAGGCCAGGAAGACAAGGCACACGGGATTCTCAGTGTGGACCAGCTCTGAAACACACCCCTCCAGGGCTTCCCCAGCCCTGGTTACCGGGGCCCTGCCTGTCTCCCAATCTCCCTGGCACTCCTTTGACAAGAGTCTGCTGGACAGCTGTTCTTGGTGGGTGTGATTTTGCTTCCTGGGACATTGGCAACACCGGGAGATGTTCTGTTGTCCCAAATGGAGGGACGAGTGCTACTGGCCCGCAGCTGAGTGGACGCTGCCAGACCACGGTGCGCACCGGACAGCTCTGCGTGACCAAGGTGGCCCAGCCTGAGGCCGACAGCATTGAGGCTGCGGACTGCCCGGGGCAGGTATTAGGATGCAGGTAGGGGTGGAAGGACGTGAATGGCAGCACCTGAAAACAGCCTGGGAGGAGTAGGAGGACGGGAAGGAGCAAGTCTGGCCCTTGGAGGGAGGCTTGCTTATACACAAAGGGAGGAAGAGACAGAGGAGGAGCCTGCTGGGGGGGTGCATCTGGGTATATAGGTGTGTGTGCAGGGATACACATGCACGCGTCTCTGTGTACATCTGTGCAGGTGTGTGCTATATACAGGGGTGCATCTGAGCGTGTACAGGTGTGTGCCTGTATGCAAGTATATGTGTGCAGGTGTGTGCCTGTGTGCAGGGATACACATGCATGCGTCTCTGTGTACATCTATGCAGGTATGTGCCTGTGTGCAGGTGTGTGTGTTGAGGTGTGTGCCTGTGTGCAGGTGTGTGCATGTCCATGCGTGCAGGGGTATGCATGCATGCATCTAAGTGTACATCCGTGTACATCCACGTACATGCCAGTGTGCGGGCAGGTTCCCCGCTGAGCCCTTGCCATGCACGGTATGAAGCTATTATCATCGTTCACAGATGGGGAAACTGAGGCAGGGGCAATAAAGACAGCTGACTGGATCACACAGCTGGCAAGTGCAGAGACAGGCTCTCTGCTCCCGGGAAGAGCACGGGGCCTTTCGCCAACTCCGTTGGGGCTCTACCGCCAGCTCTGACAATGTCTTCTTGCAGGAGGTTCTCGCACCTCTCAGCAAATCAGATCATGCTCTTGGAATCACACACTCGGGGTAGGGCCGCAGAGCATATCCCACAGGTCTGCCGGCCAGCACAGTGAGCTGGACAGGTGGGGAGGAGGGCTGGGGCTGTAAACAGAGCCTGGACTTTGGACAAAGGTGCCACAGCAGTTTGATGGGGGGGGATTTAATTTGTTTTGTTATTGTTGTTTAAAAATTATCTTATTATTATTATTCTTTTTTAATTTGACCAGAGAGAGAAAGAAAAGGAAAGTGAGACAGCAAGTTGTCACATCTGGGACTCGAGCCGTGGTCAGCCACGTGGAAGTCCAGCACCTCAACCACTATGCCACCTGCCAACCTGTCGTTTTAACAAATGGTGTTGAGATGGTTGGGTTATTTCACACTATATACAGAAATAAACTCACCTTAATGTAAGGTCTGAGACAGCCGTGCTTAGAAGGAACACGGGTGTGTTCACGACCTGAGTGAGGCAAAGACTTCTTAGATCAAACATAAAAGCACAAGCAATAAAAGATGATCACAATCGAATACCTTGGTACTTAGAAAGGTGCCATTAACAGCAAAAACACAAGGCACAGACTGGGAAGAAATATTTGCAAATCATATAGCCAATAAGGCATACACCCAAAATATATAAACAAGTCTTACAATGCAATACAAAGACAATATAATTTAAAAATGGGTGAAAGATTTAACTAGACATGTCGCCAAAAAAGATCGATGCGTGGTGAATACAGCACACCCGAGACGTCCAGTATCAGTCATTAAGGAAATGCGATTCGAGGCTACAACGAGCTATCACTTCACACCCCGCAGGATGGCTGAAGCTACACAGACAGACAAAACAAGTGTTGGCGAGGGGACAAAGAAACTGCAACTTGTGCACACGGCTGGTGGGAATGTAAACGCTGCAGCTGCTTTAGAGAGCAGACTGAAAGTGTCGTAAAAGGGCGAGCATAGAGGTGGCTTCATGGCACAGTGGTAACGTGCTACTCAAGAGAATCCAGACCCTGGTGACCAAAGTTCAAATCCCCGGCCAGTCAGCCTGAAACACAGCAGGCACGTGTGAGCACCGACCGGCTGGAGGGCTGGAGGAAGAAAACTCGGGCCCACTCTCTCACGTGTGCACAAACACACTCTATCAAAATAAAGGGAAAAAAAAAAAAACACTTTAAACAGGCAGACACAGACTACCCATATGACTCAGGAATTCCACTCCTCAGTCTATACCCAAGAGAAAGGAAAGCATGTGTCCACACCCAGAAATAGAAGCCCAGAGAGGGCACCTTCCCAGCTCACGGGCAGGAGCCAGGTTTGACTCTGAGTCTCCGAAGCTAAACACTGAGCTGTTCCTACCACTGGGAATGGGCACAGGGTGTCTGGTCAGCAGGGGAGAGGTCTGAGCCCCTCTGAATGTCCCGCTGTCTCGGAAAGCATGAGAAGGGGGCTAATCGCACCCCAAAGTTCAGTCTTTCTGGTCCCAAAGTCACCCATGCCCCTTACTTAAGTGTGTTTATTTTCACCAGGAATGAGAGAAGAAACAGAGACCACACTCGCAACAGGGCCCTGACTCGCAGCGGGGGCAGCCCACCAGCCTCAGCTGGCCCCAATCCTGGGCACACCCTTGTACTAGCACGGGCCTCAGGGCACCAGTCCTAACGCTGCACCGTGGTCTGGCCCCACAGCCACCGCTCGTGAACACGGGACGACCAGTCCAAGTACACAGCCCCTCTCCCCCACCCCCGGCTCACTCCATGTGCGTACTCCCCCTGCGTCGCACCACACCACGGGAAGGCCCCCAGTGCCACAGTCATTTTCCTGGACACATGCAAATGAACACAAATGATTTAGGCAGAGATCTTAGGGGGAAATATAAAAAATTAGTCGGGGGGCCAGCAGGTGGCATGGAGGTTAAGTGGCTGGATTCTACGTGGCCGATTGTGAGGTTCAAGTCCCAGACCCGGCAGCTTGAAAAACTTGCCAAGTGAGTGTGCATGTGTGCCCAAAATCCTGGGAGGAGATTGGAGGAGAAGGGACTGCAGTGTGTTCCCTCTCTTTTTCTCTCTGGTGAGTGCACATGCCCTACAGCAAAAACTAAAAAAAAAAGAAAAAGCAGAAGAAAATGCTCCCTACCCTCCCCCAAGGCCTTCCTCACTGCTGGCGGACAGCCAGAGACTGGGCAGCACGCGGGCCCCTGGCAGCGCCCCAGGGAGAGCGGCTACAGCTTTGCTGAGACTGAGGGACCAGAGACAAGTGCTTGCTCACCTGGGGGGCACCCTGGCAGGATGCCTGCCTCTGCCTGGGACTCCTGGCCTGCGAGGTGGTCTCTCCATCTCTGCGGGACAGGCTGGCCGGCACCGTGGGCAGGACTGTCATCAAGGAGACGGTCCTGGTTCTGACCCGCCCCTCCAGAAACAGCCCCGTTTGCTGAGTGGGGACCTGGTGCCCCTCCGTCCCTCTCATCCTTGCAGAGTGCCCTGAGCACCCAGGGGTTCCCTCTCTAATGTCCTTTCCCCTACGGTCACCCCAGCCCAGTCCCCATTGCCCCTGCCTCCAGAGCAGATGGCTGCCCCGTCCCTGCAGAGCCAGTTAGGGTGGTAGACGGCAGCCAGGGCGAGCACCCGGCCGACCTCTGGTGTGCCAGAGCCTCCGGCACAGAGCGGACGCCGGGCCACCTTCTGCTCTCTGCTGACCCCAGGCAGCTGCTCTGATGGGTGGACAGCAGAAGCCGGACCCTGCCCCTGCCCTCAGAGGACGCCTCGCATGGGCAGAGAGAGGCACCCGGGCCCGCAGGCAGTCTTCTGGCCCTCTCACCCCTCCCAAAGGAGCCCCCATGCACCCACGCCGTTGGAGGCCACATGAGGCACCCAGAGCCTGGCTCCACTGTCCACAGGCCAAGTCTGGGCGGCAAGATGTCAGGTCCTGCAGCGACCCTCGGGACCTCTGCCTCCTTGACCTGTCATGAAGCCAAATGGGCCACGCCAGTCTGCCAAGGTGTGCTTGGGTAGAAACAATGCCACACGCCAGGCCTCACCATCTGTGCTGGATAGACAGTCACACGGCTGACCAGTGGTGGTCGGCTGCTGATGGTTGTGCCAACGCTGCCGGACCCTCCCAGCCACCACTACTGCACTGGGGGCAGGTTGAGCGTGAACATGACATCAGACCTCATCGGGTGGCAGTTTATGTGGGAGACACACCCCAGACATGGGTGGACAACAGCGAGCCTGATCGCACCAGGGACGAAGGCGGGACCCAAAGCCACCGCTGTCCCCGGGTCGTGAATGGGTCCTTGGCCCTGGGATTTTTACCATGTCTCCGCGCCCAGGCCGCTGACAAACGCCACACGAGGGCATCAGGAAAGTCACAGAAGGCTCGTGGCACGGACAAATGATGACGTGTTTGCCACTTCTGTTCACTTTCCACACTTTCTGTGCCCCACGTGTGTGCAGGAAACAGTGATGCAGAGGACATGGCTGGGTACCCACAGACCTGACTGCTCCGCTGCGACCGCACCTGCTCTGTCACCCACCATGCCAAGCCACCTTGCTACCTTGCTAGTGGGGGACCGGTTTCCACCTCCTTCTTGATGGGGAAATGGAGGCTCAGAGAGGGTCAGTAACTTGCCGAAGGCCACAGAGCTCCCAGCCTGCATGGATTCGAACCCAAGCTCCTATGTGAGCTGACAGAGGTCGGAGCTCGAGGCCGCGTCAGTGGCTTGAGTGGCTCTGTACCTGTCTTCACCTGACTGCCAACCCTCCTGGCCCCCGTGACCCTGAGAGGCGTGTTGAGCATCTCACGGTACCTCCATGTTTCCTGCAAGCGCATCCCTGGGACCGCCGTTCCTGGGACAGAGCTTCTCCGTCTTGTTCAATGTCAGGTTTGGGTTTGGGCTGGGCAGGCCCGGGGTGGGCAAAAGCTGCATTTCTAAGGAGAGCCAGGCCCTGGGGACCCACCTCCACCACGGAAGAGGCTGCCTTGCCCTGCCCCTCCTCCTGGCCCGCTGCTCTGGTCACCGCCCATCTGAGCCCCCTGAAAGCCTCTGGGTCGGCCTCTCTTGCTACCCCACCCACACCCCCTCCCCACATGGCAGCCATGGCCACCATCTGACCTGGCAGCTGTGCCTTTCCAGCATGCACCATGGTCCCTACTGCTCATCCAGAGAGCTGGATTCAGTCCACAGGCCACTCGGGGCCAAGCGGACCCAGCCTCTGCAGAGCCGGCCTCGAAGGTGCTCAGTTCACCAGCTCCCCGGTCTCGCCAACAGAGTAGCCCCTTCCCATCTCGTCCTGGAGTGCCACACGCCACTCCAGCCAGTGCCCTCACTGCTCATGTGTGCTCTCCCTGGGATGGGCATGCCCCCAGCCCAGTCAGACTCCTCCCCCGAGGCACCCCAATCTCCAGAGCAACAATCACAACTCTATCTCCCTCTCCAAGAGCCCACAGGCTCAGTGCTTTCCACTTTGTGAAACACCCAAAAATAGCTACAGAAGGCCCCACGTCGGCCACAGACAGTCCCCGAAACCACAGCTCCCCTCGCACCCAACGGCAGACATTGCTGTATTCCCAGGGATGCAGAATACCTATAATTTGACCTTTTCTGGGGGAAGCTCTGGATTGTTCATGGGAAGATAATATAATAATACAGGGACCCCCTCAGGGCTTTTAAGATGTATAGAACAGGGACCAGCAGTTGGCATAATGGCTATGTCGCTGAACTCCCATGTAGCAGACCATGGTTTGAGTCCCGGACCCAGTGGCTTAAACTCACACTGGGCATGTGTGTGCACGTGCCCAAGATCCTGAGAGGAGAATGGAGGAGAAGGGATTGCAGCATGGCCATCCCCCTAGGGGGTGATTTCTCGCTTTTTGTTTCTCTGTCTCTTTCTTTCTGGTGAGCGCACGGGTCCTATGGCAAAAACCTCTCCACACACACAAAAAAGTATAGGACAAACCTCCCTAAACTGGGTGACCCCCGGATGCAACCTGGGCTTTCCAGTGGGCTTTCATAGCCTCCTAGGTCCTCGCCTCCTTCACTCCGTCTGACAGCAGCTTATTCTTCGGGTCTGCCAGGGGCACCCACATAGGAGGCTTGTTAAAACTGCGTTTAGCCCAGCCGCGTTGTGTGTGAGCTGCCGAGACGCTGTATTCCACAGGCTGGAACCACATGGGAGGCCTGGGTTCAATTCTCAGCCCAATCTAAAGGCCAGCCATCCCAGCGGCGTGGGAGACTGAGGTAGAAGGACCGCAAGCTTGAGGTCACGCAAAATGAGCGTGAGAGAGCCAGCAGTGGAATGGCCCTGCAGTCCCAGCTGGGAGGCTGAGGCGGGAGGATTGCGACAGCGAGACCTTGTCTTCAGAAAAAAATGTATTTACTGGAGTCAGAGATGCTGGCAGGCTCCTCTGTGAATTGAGGCTGAGGACCTGCGTCTGGCATCTCAGCTCTCAGTTCTAAGATGAGGACATTCACAAGCGCTGATGGCCCCCTGGGGAGATGGAATGAGCTGCAGAGCCGGCTCAGCTTCGCAACCGGGTATCTAACTATCTAACGAGACAGACCCAATGTAAGAACGCTTCATCTCGGACTCACACGCGGGTCCCAGGCCCAACTGTGCAAGCACAAAGCAGAGAGCGCAGCGATGCAGGAGGCGACAGGGCTGCAGCGGCTGCAGCTGAGAGTGGGCGGAGACACGTGCCCACCAGAGCCCGAGGAACCTGTGCCTGCTGTAACAGAAACGCCAGGACAGGCAGCGCAGTGGTCAGCCCTGAGCTGGCAGAGACCTGGCGGGAAATGGGCAGGCAGAGGTGCGAGGACGCCGATGTACTCCACCACACCCAGGAGCACCTGCCCGTCCTACCTGCGGGAGCCACAGCCTCAGACGAAGGCCCAGGCGGTATGCCGAACCCACACCACGTGGCCCGAGCACCACGCCGCAGGCCACAGGCGGGTCCCACACACAGGAGCCGACAGGCAGCTGTGGGCCTGATCACCTTAGAAAGGGGAGTTGTGTCTATGCTCCAGAAAGGGCCCATCCGACCACGTTAGGGAGAAAAGCCCCACCACAGTCACACGGTCGACGCGAGGAGGGTACCCTGGGCCGGCATGGCCAAGGCCTGCACGGGAAGCACGGCGTGGCTGCGGAGCCAGGAGAGTATAGGCGACAGGGAGACACGTCTGCCCAGAGCTCTCAGATGACAGCAGTCAGGTGGGGCAGGGGCTGGACCCTCTGACTCAGGGCATGGAAACAGCAGGTCGCAAGAAGGCAGCTGTGTGAAGCTGGGCCCGGGTGGGGTGTTCACAGGGACGGAAGAGTCCAGAATGGCACAGTGTGTGTTGAGAGCACTGACTGTGTGACCCAGGGCGCGCCTCAAGTCCAAGAGCGTCTTGGTTTGCTCATCTGTGAAGTGGGGGTGGTCACACGGCTCCCTACACAGGTGCTGGCACTTCCCCGCCAGGAGCACCCGAACGCCTGGCGAGCTTTCTGGGGGAGGGCGGTACTCACAGTGTGTCTCTGGATGACTGAGCGAGGTGCTGAGGGCGTGGGCTGGCGGGCGGAAGCACGCACTTCCCACTAGGCTGCCGGGGCAGGTAGTGGGGCACCCATCCCTGCAGGCAGCCAAGCCCAGGTAAAACAGATGTTGCAGACACTTTTAACCCCACTGCTCTGGGCTCCGGCCTCTAGGACACACACACCCAGCGTGCTGCCCGGGCCTCGGCTGCATCCACTCGCTGATGCTCGGCTGGGCCCAGGGGGACGTCCTGAAGCCCCTGGATGGCCGGTCCTCTGGGGTGGGCAGTGCTCATGGCTGACCGGGGCCTGGCCAGGCCCCACGGCACGTTCTCCTCACCAGAACCCTGGGGCAGGGCTGGGGAGCCCGCTCACCTGACCCCCCGATGCAGCACGCACTGAAGGCCACGCTGGCCAGGCAGCAGCCTCTGGGCAACAAGCCCAGGCTCGCCGGGCCTCGGCTGCCTCCCCGACCAGCTCTGCAGGATGGACGCGGAGGCAGAGTGGGCCGTGCACGGGCAGTGCGCTGTGCCCTACAACGTGACTCGATCCCCGCTGCCCTCCAGCCTCAAGGTTCCGGGCGCCCAGGTCGGGCGCAGCTGTTTCTGCTCCGTGATGCCACCTCCCATGCCTCCAGGCAACCCTGCTCGCCCCATCCCTGTCCCACCGGCGCCCCCCGTCCTTCCGGATCAGACTATCCACAGTGCCCCACGGGGCAGGGACCTTGCGCTGAGCCTCTGGACTTGTGCCTGGGGACCGGCACACCCACTTCCCACAGCCCTCCTGGGAGCCTCACCAACCAGCCGGGCACACAAAGACCACCACCCTCACAGCGGATCAGGGTGACACAAGAACCCCAGCCCCGAGGTGGTCTGCGTGGGGTCTCAGGGGCCCACTGACCAAAGCTGGCTGGAAGCGCAGCCGCCCACCTCCACCAGCGGCCCAGTGTCTGCCCTGGCTGGTTAACTGTGGCAGCCATTGCCATGGGAACCACAGAGC